GTTATACAAGAGATATTTATATTGTGATAGACATAATTATGACCTGGTTATTATTTTTCTTTGGAATTTAAGCATATCATAAGAAAATATGATTGTGTGTCAAATTGATGAGGGGTGGACTTGCAATAGATATTCTTGATTATATGACGACATCTGGAATTAACTAAAAACCCAAGCAGCTGGGTATACCTGTGAAAGATTTTTTTTCTTCATTAAATCATTTGAAGTGGGAATGGCCAGTTATAATTCATATCTTTTGAGGAGTCAAGACTCACCTTTAACCTGGTTCACACCTTCTGCTTACAGCCTATACAGAGGACATGGAAGAAGGATGCATGCTATATTTGCCTTGCTTGCTCTCACTAACAAGTTCATTTCCACACTGGCATTAGAGCCTATTTCTTTAAGATTCTGGCATATACTGAAGTCCAGCTGAATACCAAGCCTTGTGGAGTGAACAACAACTAGATTTTTGGACCTTCCATTAGGCAGACCACAACCTATAGCTCATAATAAATCTCCTTCACACACACACACACACACACACACACATTCCCCCCTCATTCTATAAATTCTGTAGAGAACACTGACTGACATACTTGCTTAGCATGCACAAGGCCATGATATCTAAAGCTTTCTCAATTTTGTAGTTTTAGATCTGACATTTAGTTGTTCTTGCATCATTTGTTGAAAAGATTCTTCATTGAGTCCTTTTGCCATTTTTGTGAAAAGTCACTTGACCACACGTTTGAGTTTCTTTCTGGCTTCTCAATTCCATTCCATTTATTTATGTATTTATTTTATGCTTGACTCAATTTCTACAGATTTTTAGAAAATGTAATAAATTTAATAAATTGGATTTTTCTCTTTGAGGTTAGATTGGGTTACTCTAAGTTTCTGCATTCATTTTATAATTGTTTTGATGATGTTTTTGATATAAAAGCTAGTAAAGATTTTGCTGGAGAATATATTAATATGCAGGTCAATTAAGAGGGTATTGCCTTTTAGGTATCTAGGAATTTGTGAACATAGTAGACCTATCTATGTAGATCTTTAATTTCTCCCAACAATGATTTCTTGGTTTTAGTGTATAAGTCTTTATCTATTTTGTTAATTCATATTTTGTTCTTTTTGTGCTATGTCTTAAGGATTTTTAATAATATTGACTGCTAGGGGCCAATGAGATGGCTCAGAGGTTAAGAACACTTGTTTAACTCACAGAAGACCCAAGTTCAATTCCTAGCACCCAGGTAATGGCTCACAACCATCCATAAATCTAGCTCCTCTTTTGACCTCTAGGGGCACCAGGCAAGCTCATGTTGCACATACGTACATTCAGGTAAAATACTCACATGTAGTATAAAATGAAAATTTTAAAGATTTTTGAAAGAATACTGGCTGTTAATATAAAGTATTATAATTGATTTCTATATGTTAATTTTGAATCTTACAAAATCTTTAATTAGTTCCATAGATTTTTTTGTGAATTTTTTAGGATTTCCTAGACAAATTCATATTACCTGTGAGGAAACACGCTTCACTTCTTTAGTCCATTATCATCATGGCAGAAAGCATGATAACATGGCAGAACCTGAAACCTACATCCTGATCTATAGACTGAAGGTGGACCCATACCTCTCCTTCTGCTTCTCCAGATCCAATTCTCTGTCTTCTTCCCAGTTCTATAGCTGAAAACCTGCTGTAGTCTCCCTTTCCTTTCTGACTCCATCTCCAACAGATCACAAAAATCTTCTCCTCCAACCTTTCTTCCCCCAACTCATCCTAGTATCCCAGCCTCCAACACCAGCAGGCATTCCCTATGAACACACCATTGGAAAAGTTCAGGGAAATAGGTAAGATAGTCACTCCCTTCTCTCCTCAAAACCCAATCCCCCAGTCTCATTCCTACCTTTGCAACAGAGCACCTGCTAGAGCCGTCCTTTCTCCTCTGCAACATTTCTTGCAGATGCCACAGACCTTCCTCCTCCTGACCTCTCTTTCCCCACTTGCTTTATCTCAGACACCAACTCTAGCTAGTCTTCTCTGCTAACTCACATATTACTTCCACCAGGGAAGCAAGTATGTTGCCTGTATACCCGTTCCCTCTCCTTCCGTTTCTCTAGATCCAAACCTGCAGTTTCATTCTCTGAGCTATAGCAAATCCATTTCACTGACCTCTTTCCACTGTCTCTGCTGATTGACTCCAGGAAGGTGAAATAAGAAGATCCTGGTTGAACATTCTGTTCTCCTCCCTCCAGGGAACCCCTTAGACCCCTAGCCTATCCCCATTCCTAAGTGTCAGCTTCCAGTAACTCATTTTACCTGGAACCCCCATTAGCCCAAATTATCATGTCCAAAGATTTACTAGCAGACAACATACAGCCATCACACTCTTGAAAAGTCCAGATAGAAATCAGAAACCAAGGAACCAAACACCCATCCAACAAAGACAAATCTAGAAATCAGCACCAGGACCTATAATCATCCCGAACATATGATGTGTATAGATGTTAGCAGAAAAACACAATCAATAATAACCACAGCAGTATGGCTCCACTAGAGCCCAGCTCTCCTATCACAGCAGATAGGCTCTGAATATTCAAACAGAGCTGAAGCACAAGAAAAGACATTAAAACCAATTTTATGAAGATGCTAGCAGTTCTTAAACAGGAAGTGACTAAATCCCTTAAAGAAATCTAGAAAAGCACAAACTCTTAAATCTCTTAAAGAAATCCAGAAGAAATACAAACAAACACTGGAAGAAAATGAATAAAACTGCCCAAAACCTGAAAATACAAGTAGAAGCAATAAGAAAAACACAAAAGAGAAGGAATTCTGGAAATGAAATATTTAGGAATTAGAACAGGAACTACAGACGCAAGCAGTACCAACAGAATACAAAAGAATCTCAAGTGTTGAAGATATAATACATTGGTCAAAGGAAATGTTGACTTTAAGAAAACTCCTAACACAAAAATCCAGGAAATCTGTGACACTATGAAAGAACAAACCTCAGAAAAATAGAGCTAGATGAAAGAGAAGAATCCCAGCTTAAATGCCCGGAAAATATTTTCAACAAAATTATAGAAGAAAAATTTCCTAGCCTAAAAAAGGAGATGCCTATAAAGGTACAAGAAGCATACAGAACACTAAACAGATTAGACCAAAAAGAAAGTCCCCTCAGTATATAGAAATCAAAGCAGTAAACGTATAGGACAACAACAACAAAGAATATTAAGACGCTTCAAGGAAAAAAGATCAAGGAACATATAAAGGCAGACCTATTAGAATTACACCTTCTAATAGGTGTAATTCTTCTCAGTGGAGACTCTAAAAGCCAGAAGGTCCTGAAGAGATGTGGTATAGGTTCTAAGAGACCACAAATGCCAGCCTAGACTACTATACACAGCAAAACTTTCAATCACCGTCAAATGGAGAAAAAATTATATCCCATGATAAAGCTAAATTTAAACATTATCTACCTATAATTATAGCCCAACAGAAGGTGCTAGAATAACTCCAACCTAAAGAAATTAACTACACCCTACACCCATGTGTAGTAAATAGTCTGAGTCCTTCAAAATAGAGGAAAAGAAGCACACCATCATGCACGTTACCCTACTACCACCACCAACAGCAGCAACAAAGTAGCAAGAATCAACAACCATTGGGCATTGATATCTCTAATCTTAATGGTCTCAATTCCCCAATAAAAAGACACAGACTAACAGAATGTATGTAAAAACAGATCTATCCTTCAGCTGCATGCAAAAAATACAGTCCAACATCAAATAGTTATTACCTTAGAAAAATACTGAGGAAATCCAGTGAATCATAAGGATATACTTTAAAAAGTAGTACTCCACCAACTGGAAAAATCTAAAAGAAATAGATACTTATTTCAATAGGTAACAATTACCAAAGTTAAATCAAGAGCAGATAAACATTTTTTAAAACTTTTAACCCTTAGTGAAATAAAAGTCATCATTAAAGTCATTAAAAATTCTCCCAACCAAAATAAGTCCAATGTCAGATAGTGAAGAATTCTACAGGACTTTCAAAGAGGAGTTAATGCCAATACTCTTCAAATTCCTTCACAAAATAAAAATAGAAGGAACACTGACAAATTCATTTTATGAGGCTACAGTTACCCTGATGCCTAAACCATGCAAACACTCACCAAAGAAAGAGAATTACAGACCAATTTCCCTTATGATCATAGATACATAAATATTCAATAATATATTTGCAAACTGAATACAAGAACATATCAAAATTATCATCAGCTTTATCAAGTAAGCTTTACTTCACAGATGCAGAAATGATTCAATTATGAAAATCAATAAATATAACCCACCATATAAACAAACAAAAGCCAAAAACCACATGATCACCTCATTAGATACAAAAAAGGCCTTTGACAAAACCCAGCACCACTTCATGATAGAAGTTCTAGATATTGGGGATACATGAGACATACATAAACATAATACAGTCAATTTACAGCAAGCCAACATTAAGTTAAATGAAGAGACACTCAAAGCAATTCTACTGAAATCAGAGATAAGACAAAGTTGTCCACTCTCTCCATATCTATTTAAGATAGTACTTCAAGTTTTAGCTAGAGTAATAAGACAACTGAAGGAGATCAAAAGGATATAAATCGGAAAGGAAGAAGTCAAAGAATATTCATTTGTAGGTGATATGATAGTGTATATAATCTACCCTAAAAATTCCACCAGGGAACGAATTCCTACAACTGATGATAAACCTTTCAGCAAAGTGGCTGGCTACCAGATTAACTCACAAAAATCAGGAAGTTGGGAATCAATCTACCTCAAGATACAGCTATACAACTCTTGGACATACAGCCAAAGGTGCATCATCCTACCACAAGGTTGCTTGCTCAATTATGTTCATTGCTTTTCTATTCATAACAGCCAGGAACTGGATATAACCTAGATGTCCTTCAACAGAGGAATAGATAAAGAAAATGTAGTCCCCTCTGTCAACAGGCAAAGAAACACTTTGTTAGTAGTGTTGTTCTTATATCAGTCAGGGGCAGAACAAATAGTAATCCTTTGTTAATCCTAGTTTGATGCCTTCCTTTGTGGTCAAAGTTGCTTTATGCCTAGGACACATAAAAAAACTAAATCAAATCAAATCCAGGCAGTGCAGCATGGGAAGAGGAAGACAGACACCTGTTTTCTACCATGCAACACAGGGTTGGCTGGGAAAGATACCCACAGACCTGCCCTCCAACACACAGCACAGGCAAGCCATAGATACACAGAGCTCACCACCACCATGCAGACAGAAACCTGGAGACTGTCATGCCACCCACAGACCTGCCCTTCATCTCACAATACAGATAGGGCCATAGGCACCTGCCTGCTACAAGGCCATATTGTCCAGACAAAGGATGTCAGTCAGCGACCAACCAACAGTGTGACCAGTCTGTAGCAGGAGCCACCACAATGTGTGAGTATGTGGTGGACAGATGAGAGAGAAAAAGAAGTAGATCAGCTTGAGCATCATGAAGAAAGAGGAAACTGGGACTTGAGGGTGAAGAGGAGGAGTCTGTTGTGAGTGGCCAGCCATGTCACTGAGAGCAATTCTGGGCCCATAGTTATGCATCTGCAGAGGTCAGCGTTGATGTCTGAGGCTCATATTACCACTAGAGAACATGGGGATGTTACTGGTTGGGGCAACCCCTGGAGATCACGTGTATGTCCAGGGGCTGATCACCTTGGCAAGGCACAGGGCCTGCTCTCCCAAGTGCTGCAGCCTGTGAATGGTTAGACCAGCTCTCTAGATTACTATAGCCAGTTAGGGGCTCTGAGAAGGCCTACCCCAAAATCTTTGTCATCTGTGAATGATTGGGATGCTCAAAAGGTTGAGCCCTGTTGATCAAAACCTGAAGGTTTTTCGTGGTAACAACAGGATAACTGGGAGGAGTCTCAGTGAAGGTCCAATATCAATCATGTTGCAATGAACATTTGCGAGTAAAGATGTGTTCACAGAGAGATATATTGTGGAACATACTGTGACATACTACAGCTTCCACAATGAGATGTTTTTCTATGCTTTGTTTGTTTGTTGTTGGTGGTAGTGGTAGTGGTAGTGCTACTGCTGCTGCTGGTTGTGGTGGTGGTGGTGTGTATGTATTTTATTTTGGGGGAAGGTTGCAAGATTGAAGGAAAGATATGCAGGGACAGGGAGATGAACAGGACTGGAATACATGATATGAAACTCATAAAGTATCAATAAAGAGTATTTTAAAAAGAGAAAATTTGGTACATTTACCACCATGGCATATTACTCAGTTGTTTACAAAAATCGCATTGTGAAAGTTTCAGGTAAATGGATGGAACTAAAAAAAAAAAAAAATCATCCAGAGTGAGGTAGCCCAGACCCAGATATAGAAACATGGTATATATTCACTTTTATGTGGATATTAGCTATTAAATAAATGAAAAACACACTACAATCCATAGACCTAGAGAGGTTAAATAGAAACCCCAGAGAAAGGGTCTAGGATGACACGTATATCTCCCTGGGAAGGGGAAATAGAAGAAATTCTGTTGGTGAACTTGGGGCAGGTAGGGATGTGAACAGGAAAATCAAGCAGAGAAGAGAAAAGGAGATAGGCTTGAGGGAGAAAATGAAGAGAGAAGGAACTGAATTTGAGGGATATTTGAGGTGTGGGTATGGAAATGTAGTACAGAAGAATTTTCCAAAAATATATGAAGGTGACTTTTGAGTTCTCCTAATACTGGGGTATACAAAATCTCAACTGGCTGTCTGTTGTCACCAAATGAGGTAATGGAACTGAGTTGCATTAAACTGAGTTATTAGGCAAGAGGGTCCCAAAGAAATCCCCAACCAACTCAATCTTTTCCAAGACAATGATTGCTCTCCACAAACTGACAGCATGACCCCATTGCTGAAAAGAAAACCTACACAACTCTTTGAACACAGAGAAGTTGAGCTGGCTCCGACATGGAGCCTTCACCACTTTGTTCTAGAGTCTGGTGTGGAAAGGTACTTAGCAGGCTACCAAAAGAGTAGCATAAACACCAGCCAAAACATAAAGCCTGCGACTGACAAACTGGCCTACCTAAAACATATGACAGGACAAGGGTGGCACAGAGCCTGTGGGAGTAGCCAACCAATGTCTGATTTGACTTAAGGCCTACTCCATGAGACAAATTCCATACAGAACACTGCTTGGGTAACCAAGAACCAAAGCCTAGATATCCCAGAGACCTAGAGTAAAACCAAACACTACTCTTCTAAAAAAAAGAAAAATGTACCAATAACAATGACTCCTACTGATCTGATATTCTGCTATAATTATAGATCGGTTCCTTATTTACTCATTAAAAAGCTTCCTCCTGCAGCAGATGGTAATAGATGCAGAGAACCACAGCCAGACATTACACACAGAGGGTCTAAATGGTATGTTTCCATAAAATCCCTCCCCTCAGAGCCCAGTGAACCCTATGGAAGAGGAGGCTGAAAGAATGTGCAGTAGCCAGAAGGAATGGAGGACACTAGGAGAAGAACAAGGCCCTCTGAATTAACTCAGTAAGACTCATGTGAACTCACAGAGACTGAATCAGCAAGCCTGCAGTCTATACAAGTCTGCATCAGGTCTTTTACATACATATTTTAGTTTTTAGCTTAGTGTTTTTATGGGCCTCCTGAGTGTGTAAATGAGTGGGTCTCTGATTCTTGTGCCTGTTCTTGGGGCTCTTTTCCTTCTCTTGGGTTGCCTGTCCAGCTTCAGTATGGTGGTTTTGGTTTATCTTGTTATATTTTATTTTGTCATGTTTAGTTGTTATCTCTTAGAAGCCTTTCATTTTCTAATGTAAGACCAAAAAATAGCTCTAGAGAGTAGGTGGAGAAAAACTGAAAATTTTTAGATTTTAGAATCTATTGTCAAGATATATTGTATAAGAAAAGGACCTATTTTCAATAGAAGGGAGAAAGGGAGCAGCCACTAATAATTACTTGACACAATCAAGATGAGGCTGTCTTGAAATATCCTCTGTCAACACCATTAATCCAAAATTCTTCAGTTTAGCCTCAGGCAGACTTTTCAGAAAATAGCAGAAAGCAGCCACATTCTTTGCCTAAAATTCACAAGAACAGTCTATATGCCACTTACTAATACTCTTCTCCTCTAAAACTTCTAATACAAAGCCCCAAAGTCTACATTCTTCCAAAAGAAACATCGTTAGGCCTGTCACACCAATACACCAGCCCCTGGTATCAACTTCTGTCTTCATCATTCCTCTATTATTGTGAGGAAACATCATTATCAAAGCAACTACAATAAGAGAAAACATTTTCTTAGTGGCATGATTATATTTTCAGAGGTTTAGTCCATTACCATCACAACAGGAACCATAGCAGCATTCAGGGAGACACTGAAATAGGACTGACACCTACACCTACACCCTAATCCTTAGCAGAGAAAGAGAACAAGAAGGAGAGAGAGAGAGAGAGACAGACAGAGAGACAGAGACAGAGAGAGACAGAGACAGAGAGAGCAGAGAGAGACAGAGAGAGACAGAGAGGGACAGAGAGGGACAGAGAGAGGCAGAGAGAGACAGAGGCTTTGGGCTTGGCATGGGCTTTTAAAAACTCAAAGTCCACCTCTAGTGGCACACTTACTCCAACAGGCCCACAGCTACTAAACTCTTCAAATAGTGCCACTCTGTGGTGACCAAGCATTCAAATATATAAATTTATGGAGACCATTCTTATTCAAACCATCACAGGTCACATGGTAACTTAGTACCCCGTTATCAAGTATTCAGTTTCTACCAAGGCCCAATAGAAGGAGGGAAGACAGTTGTCTGCAGATAATGGCAGAGCCTTTCTATAAAATCCCAAAGGTCTCTTCTGTGATTCACCTATAGCGAACTACCAAAGGCTCCAAACAGCACCTGAGTCTGCCATTAACATCTCAAGTACCATTGGGTCACTGAATAAAATAGTCCAGTGGTGGAGAAGACTGCACAACAGCTTGGACCTGTTGAATATCCTTTTCCTGTTCCAAGCCCCACAGGAAGCTAGCAGCTTTTCAAGTCACTTGATATATAGGCCAAAGTAACACACCCAAGTGAAGTTTTGCTGTCTCCAGAATCCAAATAGACCCATTAAATGTTATGATTCTTTCTTGATTGTGGGAGGAGCCAGGTGCAATAACTTATCCTTCACCTTAAGAAAAAAATCTCTGTATGTCCCACATCACTAAATTAAGAATTTCACTGAGGCAGAAGGCTCTTGGATTTTGGTTGGATATTTTCCCATCCTCTGATGTGCATATGTGTTACTAAATCCCAAAGTAGTTGCTACTTCCTTCTCACTTGGTCCAATCAATGTAATACCATCAATATAATGAACTAGTGTGATATTTTGTGGGAAAGACTGATCAAGATCCCTTCAGGCTAAGTTATGACACAGGGATGGATTGTCACTAAAACCTTGAAGTAAGACTTTAAAGGTATACTGATGGTCTTGCCAACTGAAAGCAAATTGTTTTTAATGATCTTTATGAACAGGTACTAGAAAAAGGCATTTGCTAGACTGATAGCTACATACCATGTATGAGATGTGTTAATCTGTTCAAGTGAAGACATTATATTTGGTACAGCAGCTGCAGTTGGAGTTACTACTTGATTGAGTTTTGATCATTTTCCATGATCCATCTGCTGTTTGCACTGGCCAGATAGGAGAGTTAAAACAAGATGTGTGGGGACTGCTACCCCTGCATCTTTCAAGTCTTGGATGGTGATGCTAATTTCTGCAACTCTGCCAGAAATGCAAAACTGTTTTTAATTCACTATTTGCCCTGGCAAAGGCAACTCTATAGACTTTCATTTAGACTTTCCAACCATAGTAAGGCTTCACTCCACAGGTCAGGGAACCAATGGGAGAATTCTAAGTATATCTGCCAACTTCTAAGTATATCTATCCTAATTATTCATTCTGAGGCTGAGGAAATATCCACAGGATGAGTTCAGGGACCCACTGAATCTATTGTGAATTGGACTTTCACAAAAATTCCATTAATCACCTGATCTCCATAAGCCCTACTTTAACTGGCCATGCTTCTTGGGGTCTCCCAGAA